AAATATTTATTATTAACACAACAACGATTACACAAAAACAAATAACTTTTGACAATTACTTAAATTATACAATCATTCTCAACTTTGTAAAGAAATTAATTAAAAAAAAAGTCGTATATATCGTTAACTCATGTCTTTTCCCGGTGGTGGCACCGACTAATTCCGGACCCGTCGTGGAGTCCATTCTTTGTTTTGTTAGGGTCTCTAAAGAGACAAAACAAAACTTAAAAAAAATATTATATGGCTAACAATCAAGTCTATATTTCTGGTGGCAGCACCGATTTGAGACCCCTCAGGGGTCAATTCTTTGTTAGGGAATCTTATCGGGCTGTAAAGAGGCAAAACGAAATCTAAACTATTTATTGTTAGAACAGCTTTTTTAATATGTACTTTCTGACAGGTCCAACCATTCCCTTCTTCCCGCTATCTTAAAAAAAAAAACAGATTTACTGCTGATTTTTCGTCATAGATTGGTATACTATAAAAGATATATGACAATTCCAGGGAATGGGAGTAAATGAAATGGCATCTATGTTGACTCAGCATCCACTTGGTAACGAATGTAGCGAGAACGAGACCATGCTGCAACCGCACCCGGACCAGACAGACACCGTCGATGGTAAGTCCCTACTTTAAGATGACCACAAACTTCAACATTCATTAATAAAGCATAAAACCAATAAAATCAATCGTACTGTGGTAAAGAATACTTCAAATGATCTATTTCCTTAATACCCATTAAGGAGTTGAAACTTACCCGAGATCATATTGGAATTATTTGAAATGCATTACTCTGTCAATGTTACCTTTTTAATTGAATATTTTAATTTTGTAGTGAAGTTTGTGGTTATTTAAATGTATTTAGAAAGGAGAGTTATTTGTGACAAAATAATTATAAAAACTAAAAATGTTTTGAATTTTTTTGTCACAAAAGCTTTTCTATGTTTTGTGTTTTCTGTGTTGCCAGCTTTTGATGTTCTGCTTCTATTTGGAAACATAAATTGATTTACATCATTAGTATTTTTATTTATGGTTTCAAATATTTTCTAAATGTGTTGTTTTTAACAGCATGCCATTAACACCTTATAGCATGGTTTACTATTGCTTGTATCATTCTTCTCTAATTTGCACCAACCATTCATTACTAGCTTCTTTTATATTACTTTGGCTTTTATATAGTTATCGAAGAAATCGGTGTGGTTATAAAATTCGAATAAGATTTGGCGCTCCCCACTTTAGGTCGTGTTTTTAGTAAAATTACAAGTGTGTGTAAATTTATGTATGAAAATTAAGTACAAAACAAACGGTGATTTTTTTTTATTAGGCTTGAATAAGGTATGCATGGATACAAGGGAAGTAACTTTTAAGGAACGTGTCTTGAAGGCATTAAGCATGCGTTAAATGAAATTAGAAGTGAACGAATTACGTATATTACAGGTGAAAACTTTGGCGTTGATGAAAATACAAAGCCCGAACGATACAACAAATTATCGAATTTAAATAGCATAATGAAAAGCTACAAAATGGCATTAAATCAAAATAAACCATACAGTATTCCTATGACTTGTAATATTTGTGGTAAAAATGTTGGCAATATAAAGAAACATATGAAATCTCATAATCCCGAACAACATAAATGTCCCTTGTGTCCCATTATATTGACCAGAGCGGATAATTTAAAGAGACACTTGCGTATGAAGCATTGTTCTGTCTTAAGATCTGATAATATATCTAATATTCAAACATGTTGAACACCAACGCATAATGTCTTACAATATTGAAAGTTTTTTTATAGAATGAAATGAAGTATTTGTGATTTTTTTTCTATCATGAGAGGGTGATATTTAATTTTTACAATATGAGATATAAGTCATTAGTTTTTATTAATCATGTGTGAAACTCAATGAAGTAAAGTTAAAAATAATGAATTAAAAAAAAAACATTAATTGATTACTGATTCGATTTGTATAGTAAAAGCTTTTAGGAAATTACTCATTATTCATTTATTCCTTACTAATGAGATATGAAATTGATACATGAATATCCAAAGAGGTAGCTATAAGATTTCTTAAACCAAATATCGTATCCTAACATTTCTTTGTTATAACAAATTGCTTTTACAGGTATTTCCGTTTTGTAATTAGTAATAAGGTGTGGTGTGTTTTATTAACAAGTCATAACAAGCACTATTATTTAAGGATATAAAATATGTTTTTTCTTTCGAAACGGTATGCTAATTTTGCTTCCCTAGTGTTTGTTATGTCTATGCTAAGAATCAGTAAGCTATAGTAACACGGGTATACAATGTATGGCTAAATTTATCTCGGCTTTGAGCGATTAACTTTCTATTTTCAGTATTTTAATAATAAACTCACTTTTGGTTGAACACTAAAAAATATTATGCAAATAATAAGTTCTATAGTTTTTTTATTTTAATAGTAATAATTGTCCGAATTGTGATATTCACGTTGATTTAATATAGCTTCAACAGATTTTTTTTTTCAATTTCATAGTAATAATGTAATGTTGAAGCTTGTTAGGGTCAATTTTGTATTTAATAGTTTACTCAATTTTAAACACGAGCTGTGACGGGAAGGATATCATTTTACCTGTGCTCTTCAAATTGTGACGTCATAGTAATAATTAGTCTAAAATAATATTTGCAGTATTTTATGACGCAAGAGAGCTAAATGGTATCCTACCTTGGCTATAGCGCACTAGCGATATTATGATCTCTTATTGTTCCTCGTAGTAAATGTTAAAGTAAACGACAAAGCGTCCAAGACTGATTTTGTATTTTGGGACAACATTCTTTTAATAATAATTTATTTCTTTTTAAACTACTTGTAAGTATCGTTATTGTGTGTTCGTTGCAAATATATTCCTTTTTTATTTATACTTATTTTCTTTTCATTTTCATCCTCTTCCATGCTTCGTTTTGTTTATAGCAAACCTGTTTCTAAACAAATCGCATTCTGTTACCGGCTTGGTGAAAGTGGATACTATTAACATTTCATGCAATTGTAACAACACTGACAAATAACAGACACCATTTCTTCAAACGCCATAATCGATTCATTTTTGCATGAATCTCTTGAAATATAATTATTTTTAAGTAACTTTATTTCGGAGGTTTTGTTAATAATATAAAAAGTAATTAATGGACTTTCTTATTCTTAATGAGCGCTTTTAAAATAGTGCTAGGAGAAGCATAGTTTAGCATTTACAAACTAATCTCGATGCTGCTTTGAAAACCTAGTGCTAATGTTGTCCATCTTTGAATAACCTCTTTGTGACAGACAGTAGAACTTTGACTTCTTAGCCTACTCCGTATATCTAAACTTCTCATTATTTAGTCAAATATGATCCTTTTATGTTTCAAAATGTCGTACCCATGTGATATCTTATTAAATACTCGATCATGTTTAAGGTTGATTATTCTAGGTTCTACTGTTTTATACTTACTGATAACATAGTTATTAAAATTTAATAATTTCAAAGACGTGTATTAAAATGCTGCAGAACCAACAAACTTACCGTTAGCAGTATGCGATTATGAATGATGACCTCATATTTATAATCTCCAAAATTCTATTCCCATTAGTAATTTTTGTTTTTATTTATTATTTATTTTATTGTTTTTTCAAACTAAACCTTCATTAAGTCGTTGTTTTCCTTTAGTTTTTTGCAATATAATATGA